AGCCTGCTTCTCACTCTGCTTCTCTCTCTCTCCCTCTCTCTCCCTCCCTCTGTCTCTCATGAATAAATAAATAAAATCTTTAAAAAAAATAAATCCAAAGACTGAGACATGTTTACTGGCAAGTTAAACTTTTTTCCTCCATAGTTCCCAGGAGCGTAGAGCCCCAGAGTAAGATTAGATCAATTGGGGGGGGGGGGGAGTAGTACATTCAAAGTCGAATTTTCAATTTCAGGGCATTTGTCACCATCACCATATTTTTTAATACTTCAATATCGGGGACTATGTCTGTTTTCTCTCACTCATCAGGCCCATATCAGGCACTCGACATTTCTTGAAAAAATGAAATGAATGAATGACCATAAATATATGGCTAATTCTGGAAAAACAAGGTCTAGGTTTTAATTATTTGAGGTCAATGTCTTCCTGACTTTCCTGAGATTTGAAAACATGCGCTGGAAATAAACTTCTTTTACTTTACGCAACACATCTTAGGTTGTAAATATAAGGTCCCGGAGTAATTTCAATGAAGGCTCTTCGGCAGGCAGAAGCAGGAGATTCTGTTAGCCCTTGGCAATTCCTCAAGCCACAGAAATTAGAAAAGTCAGTCTAAGCCAGACTTGGAGGAAGGTCTTCGAAAAAACTGTACAAAGAAAGCCCCCCAAAGGTCCCCTGAATGTTGTCCCCCCTAATTCTCCTCTGTCCTTTGCCTTCCATGGAGCCGAGAAAGAAGTATCTGTCTCCTCTGATATTCTAAAAAGATCGATATCTGACTGGAAGTTCTTCTCTGATCAAACATCAAAATTCTAAACACGTTTTTTAATTTTCCCATTCATACCGTAATTTCCAGGAAAGCCAAAGTTTGTTGCAAAGTCTGGAGGTGAATTTGTTTAATAGAGGTGACACAGACATTGCTGGCTGCCATCCATTCTTCACCCTTCTCTTTCCTAACAGGACCCAGATTTTATCCATTATCCCATCCTCCCTCAAGCAATGTGAGTGCCCCAAAGCAAGTTGACACCACCCCCTCACTCCAACGGTGAGCCTGAGGCTCTACAACTCGGTTCCCAACTGGAGGTGATATTGCACCCCAGGGATGTCTGGCAACGCCTGGGGATTATTTTGAATTGTCACAGCAAGGGGGAAGTCATCCACTAGGCAGAGGCCAAGGACATTGCAAAACATCCTGCCTCGCACAGGACAGCCTTCCACAACACAGAACTATCCAACTCAAAATGCCAATAGTCCTCTAGTAGAGAAACACTGGTCTAAGGGTTATGGCATCCCCCTTACCAGGGATTGGTTCAAGCTTGCAAGTTTCTTGGAAGGTTGGTCCTGGCTTCCAGAAGCCACCTTCTCTCTTTCTGGATATAGGGGTGGACAGATGTAAAGTCAGGAGCTGCCAATGCCATTGTGACACTCTGGGTTATGCCCTCCCCTGTACGTGAAGATAAGGTCCATATACACAGAAGGGTATAACCACTCGATAAAGCTGACATTGAAGCTTATGACGCCCCTCTGAACTCCCAGTTTTGTGACCCAATAAATATCCTCATTGTGTAAGCCAGTTTTGAGAGACATCAACTACCTCCATTTTGACCTCAGTCTGTACTTCCTCATTAAATTCTTTCCAGTTTATCTCTAAACTCAGGCAAAAGACCCTGCAGGCGAAGCATCCCATGATGGGAACCAAAACTACCCTCTCAAGCAATAACTAGCGCCCTGAGCCAGCAAGACCTGTGTGATTGACCCCAAGACAAGGATCTACCTGACCTTTACTGCCTACCTGCACGTACCCACCCACCTTTGTCCCTCGTTCTCCTTATATAAACCTAGAAGTATTTTCAGCACTTTGGAAACAGTCTTTGAGACACTAGACTGCTTTCTTCCCAGTACTGGCCTCACTGAAATAAATTCCTTTCCTGTTTCACCACCCCTCATCTCTCTGCCTTCGGATTTGGTCAGCGGCCAGTGGCTGAACCTGGTCTGCTTGGGACGCCGGGGCAGGTGCTCTCACTTCCCTGTGCCCCAGTTACAGTTTAAATTAGGTTTTGCATCAAACTCAAAGCTGCATGCATCCTGATTCAAGAAGTAGTCTAACATAATTTTCTGAGAAATTTGAAAAGAAAGAAAAGAAAAAGAAAGCCATTATGAAGATATTAAAGACTTTAGGCAGACGGTGAGGGAGGGGTAGAATATTTTAAAGTTTCTGAGTTCACTGTCAATCCCACTGTAATATCAGACCTTTGTAAGAGAACTGAAAAACCTCAAGAAGAGAGGGGAATCAAATGTTCATGAAGAAGCATTGCTGTAGAGCCAGGCTGGTCCTGTATCTTTCATTCACTCCAGAAATAGTTCCAGAGAGTCTGCTATGAGTCAGGCAATGGTCTAGGCTCTAGAGGACATACTGCTAAACAGAACAGTCGTCTTTGCCTTTGTCGAACTTATATTCTAGCAGAGGGAGACAGACAAGAAACAAATAACCATGATAAATAATTAAATGACAAGGCAGGTGACAAGTTGTATGTAAGTGCTACAGGAAAAAGCAATAGAGGAGCGCCTGGGTGGATCACTTGGTTAAACATCCAGCTCTTTTTTTTTTTTTTAAGATTTCATTTATTTGGAGAGAGAATAGAGCACAAGCAGGGTGAGCTGCAGGCAGAGGGAGAGGCAGGCTCCCTGCTGAGCAAGGAGCCTGATGCGGGACTCCATCCCAAGGCCCTGTGATCCTGACCTGAGCCAAAGGCAGATGCTTAACCCAACTGAGCCACCCAGGTGTCCCTCTTTTTTTTTTTAAAGGCATCCGACTCTTGACCTCAGCTCAGGTCTTAATCTCAGGTTGGTGAGTTCAAGCCCCATGCTGGGCATGGAGCATACCTTAAAAAAAAAAAAAAACTGAAAAAAGCAATAGGTGAGGTAAGGGGAGTTGGGAAGGCAGTGGAGAGGGTGGTGAATAGCAACTTAAATAGGCAGTCAAGTAGGCCTTATTGAGAAATGACCTTTGAGAGACGATACTAAGGAGATGAGGGTGTGAGCAATACAGACACCAAAGAGAGGAAAAGCATTCTAGACTAAGGGAACAGCCAGTGCTAAGTCCTGAGGCAAGAGCTTTCCTGGTGTGATGAAGGAATTGCAAGAAGGTAGTGTGGCTAGGGCAGAGTGAATGAAGGGGTCAGAGGAATTAGGGGTGAGATCAGAAGTAAAGGGAGAGGCTTTGTAGTCATCGTATGGACTTTGGCTTTTACTTCCACAGGAATGGGGAGCCACTGAGGGATCTTGAGGGGGAAATCATAATCTGGCTCAGATTTTAACATTACTTTCCTGGCTATCGTGTATAGATAAAGGAGGACACAAGTGAAAGCTGATGATCGCAGCAATACAGTGAAGCAATGTTGGTAACTGGCAGGTGGAAGTAGCAGAGATGGTGAGACAACCTTGGATTCCAGACATATTTGAAGGAGCCAACACAATTCCCTTAATCAAAGTACATAAAACACATTAGGGAAAAAAATGGGTTGACAAAGCTGTGAATACAACTCCTCAGCTTCTGACTCCATGGCCCAACAAAGAACAAGAACAGTGGCACTGGGTATGTTAAAGATTGACTTGTCAAGATGTATCACAATGTCAAAGTGTGGTTGAAGATAGAAGATACAATGTAACACATGGAGCAGGGTTAATGTCCCTGGAAGCAGATGGGAGTCCAAATTTCTGCTTCATGTTGTTAGAAATATGTCTAGACCATGAAACAATCATCACAAAAGTTCTGAGAAACTCAGTATTCCCTCCAAAGAAAAATCAAACCAAACTTTTAAAACTGGATTTTAAGGATCAATTTAAACTCCCACTGTAGTATTATATGGACAAAAAGAGCTGTATTATCTGTCAATATCTTTTGATTAGTATTGCATCTCATTTGAGAGAGCCTCATTTACCCTCAACATGAATCTTAAAGGCAAATTTAGAATGGGAGTTAGGCATGGGGGAACAAACACATTGAAGAAAATGCAAATAAAAAATATTTTAAACTCAAAAGATGTATCCTTCACTGATCCTGAAGAACTCTGGATTGAGTTGAGGCAGACTTTTCCTCAACCAGTTCTTTTGTATAAGAATTACTCAGCTGGGTGTGGTAGCGCTACTGTCCCATAATAAATGTATTCATGTATCACCACACTCCCTTTGGAGCCTATTAAACGCCATTTTCTGCCTGTCGGACAGATTATTGGCTTGATTCTACTGTCTGTTCAGAACCAAAGCATCTAGATATGGCATTATAAAAAAGTTGTGCCAATGCGTTTTAAATCACCTTAGTATAGATAGTAATTAATAATGGACTCTGCCTCATTAAAGTTTGGTTTCCAGCAGTGCCATTTACTTTACCATAAATGCTACTTCCCCATCTTTAAAACGGGTATAATGATATTTTCCTAGAGGATTTGTTATGAGGATTAGAGTTAATATTTGTAAAGCCCTCTGAACAGTACCTGGCAATACCCAGTGCGTATGTGTCCATTAAGGACCAATGCTCCACGGCATCTCATGGATTTAAATTTAATGCTCTTAAAAAGCAGAGAAAGCAAAACCGTCACACTTTCTCAACGCTCCCTGATTTTATTAGTTGTTGGAAGCTTTCAAAGCATTTAGAACATGACAGCTAGGAAGGTCAAAAGAAGAAAAGAAAGGGAACTCCGAGGTGTTTGTTCGCGAGTTCCAGGTGTGCCTCCGCGGTGCTTTTAAGGCCTAGGAGAGACTGGCGGCCTCGGTGAGGCCCGCCCGGGCCAGGAGAGGAGGGACGGAGCGGTAATACTCCTCCCCGACCTGTGTCCCAAGCCCCGGAGGGCGCGCACGACAGCGGCGGCGGAAGCAGGCGGGGCGGGGCGGGGCGGGGCGGTGGGCGGCGCGCGTTTCCGGCGTGCGCAGCGGAGCGCTCGGGTGGGGGCACTGCCGGCTTCGAATCGCGCACAATGAGACAGCGCTGAGCGCCGGAAGTGGGGCCGAAGGAAAACACGGAGAGGGAGCCCGGCCGGGACAGGAAGAGGCGGGGGACCGCGGCGGAGGTGGTGAGTGCTGCGGGGCGCCCTCTCCCCGAGTCCCTCCCAGACTAGCCTCCGGGGTGGTTCTCCGGTGGGTTCCCTGGTCTCCGGAGTAGAGGGCGGGCCCGGCCCGAGAGAAACGTTGGCTCCATCCCCTGCCGGCCTCCTCGCCCCACTTGCGAGGACCTGGGAACCCCCAGGCCGGCGGGGACTGAGCTCTCGGGTTCGAGTCCGCATCTCACTTTGTGTCAGACCCTGTCGGCGCCGGAGAAGAAGGGACCTGGGTGGAGGCACTCGGCCCCGGCCCCCTAGCCGGCCGGGGGGACCCCGGAACCCCATCAAGGAAGCAGGTCACTTCCTGCTTCCTGGTCCCCGAGGTGGCTTCGTGGCCAGGAGTGCGGGGACGCCTCCTCTTTCCCTGTCTCCTGCCCCGAAGGGTGGAAACTGAGGCAGATCGAGGGTGGGGCGATCAAATGGGAGTCGAAGAGGGAGAAATGCTGTCCGTGACAAAACCAAACTTGTTTGGGGTTAGAGAATGAGGACCGGGGAGGTTAGCTGGAATTGTCTCTTGGTCAAAAACCTAGCCCCTTTGACGAGGGGAGCTTTGGTGGGGAGCGAGACCCTCCCCTGCCCAAGCGACCGAAGCCCGAGGTTCTGAATAGTGGTGGTGAGGGGCAGCCGAGGCCCTTCCCTGAAGGACCGAGAAGGGACAGAAAAGTGGATTGGAGCTACTTTCACAGAAAGTTTCGGTTACTTTGTATAACACTTAAAAGTAATTGCCAACTTTTTTTTTTTTTTTAAAGACTCTTTCCGGAGTTTTCTAACAACATAGGCTTGGGAATGAGGGTTTGGTTTGGTTTTTTGGAGAAGCGCTTTTGTTTTATGGGTAAAGCCAACCAACTTGGTAACGAGTAACATTTTTTAATACTGCAGTTCTCGAGACTGTAGGGAGCTTCCCTTAGTCACAGATGTAATCTTCATGTTAAACAGTAAGTACTAATTTTCGTGAAGAATATTACAGGATTCAAGCCTCACAACTTCTAGTGTAATGCGGTGATTATTTGAATGTGATGGAAATTAGGAAAAGAAGAGTTTGTATAGGCTTTTGAGCATCTGTACAATAAATGTGTATTTCATATGCTTGGTGTGATATCTTGTTATAGTTTGATGATTTCCCAAAATGCCTTCTTTCAGGTGCAGAGTAAGAAAATTGAAGTCAAAGACCATGGGAGATGCAGCAAAACCTTATTTTGTGAAACGTGCTAAAGACCGAGGGACTGTAGATGATGAGGATTTCAGAAGGGGTCACCCCCAACAAGATTATTTAATAATGGATGATTATGCTAAAGGCCATAGCAGTAAAATGGAAAAAGGCCTTCCAAAAAAAAAAACACCAGGGAACTATGGGAATACCCCCAGAAAAGGACCATATGCTGTTTCCAACAATCCCTATGCATTTAAAAACCCAATTTACAGTCAACCTGCTTGGATAAATGACAACCACAAAGATCAGAGTAAGAGATGGCTCTCTGATGAACTTGCTGGTAATTCAGACAGTTGGAGGGATTTTAAACCTGGACCTAGAATTCCTGTTATAAACCGACCAAGAAAAGACTCCTTTCAGGAAAGTGAGGATGGATATAGGTGGCAAGATGGAAGAGGCTACAGAACTGTAAGACGACTACTTCATAAAGACTTGACAAGCCTAGAAACCATGTCAGAAATGGAAGCAGGAAGCCCTGGTAATGTGTTCCAACTTGTCAAGTTACAACCCCAAAGTCGCAATGTCTTTTTCATCCAAATGAGGTTTATTATTTTCAGCAATGCAGTTTCGATTTTTCATAGTTCCTGCTTATTTAATGTGAATACTTTAAAAATTGTAATCATGGTATTTGGGCAACTTCAACACATTGCATGTACTGGTCACTTTAAAAGTTCACTTTGCTATGAGGCTCATTTTACTTCAGTAAACATATTTCCCGTTGATGCCTTTTACAGAAGAGGGCGACTATCACCCTGGGGACTATATCATATTTTCTGAGTGGTGTGTATGTATTTTCTAAATTATGTATTGTAATTTTGTATTTGAATAGCGAATGTGTCCATAATATAAATGACAGAATATAAGGCTAAAAAAAAATCATATTCAATGTAAGTACGCAATATAGACTGTATATATTTCCTGTAACAGAGGGTTATATGTCTTTTGGATAGAGCATCAATCTCCAGAAGAGGATAGTCCAAGATTTTTATTTTTTTTCCTTAGAAGTGACCATGGCAAACAGCCTGGGACATATTACAGATAAAAGTTTTGCCTTTTAGTTTCTGTAGCACCAAAACCCATTTCTAAGTGCCCTCTGTGCTTGATGATAATTGCCTCAAAGTGATTATACGTTTTTCTAAAAGGTGAATAGATTTTGTCCATGTAGCAATGATTTCTATATACAGGAAAATTATCTGATAGACAGTAATAACTGAAATGAAATAAACTCATAAATATGAATGAAAAAGTAAAACAATATTTAGTCTGAAAATGTAAATTATGCCTGGAAAAATGGGCTTTTAAATATATTGGCTGTAACTTTTTTTTTCTTTAAGATTTTATGTATTTATTTGAGAGAGTGAGATCGAGAAAGAGAGTGCACATGAGCACACACACAGGGAGTGGGAGAGACAGAAACAGGCTCCCCACTGAGCTAGAAGCTCTATGCAGGACTCGATCCCAGGACCCTGGGATCATGACCTGAGCCAAAGGCAGCCGCTTCCTAACTAACTGAGCCACCCAGATGCCCAGCTATAAGCCTTTTTTTAGTGACCATATGGAATGGGGGGCAAATTGGTCAGGACTTTTAAGTTTTTTTAAATTTAAATGCATCTAGGCAACGTTGGCACTCTCCTAGCTATCCAGAAGCCCTTATGTGTTATCTCACAGTGACCAGTTTACATCTATACATGTTACTGATAAGGCATTGGAACTTAAAATCTGGACATTTAGAATACTTAACAGAGAAAACGTCATTTGTTATCTCTAGGGGGTCTTATGATAGTATTAAATGAGAGAAAAGGTGCTGTTTTATATTTCTGAAGGTAGGAAAAGCAAGAGAATATGCCTTATATCAAATAGCAGAAATAGAATGAGGTGTTATAAAGGAATCCCAGGAGAGAGAAAATCTTGGCTGCGTAAATCTTTAAGCTAGAATGAAATTGAAGGAATTGTCTGATCTAGTGCTCTGTTATGATACATCAGGGTACAATCACAGTTTTTCACAGCAGGTAGCTGTGGCCTGATGAGGTTAAATTTATTTTAGCGGGGTGGTGGATGAGGAAGTGGAACTGAAATTGAGTGCTGTGCTGCTTTGGCCATTTACTCAGCCTCACTGGACCTTGAATCTGACAGAGGGAAACCGAACACATATTGGTAATTTCTCGGTTTTTGGTTGGTGTTTTTCTTTTTAAAAGTCTGTATATATTTAAGTATTTCTGTATTACTGTATCCAGATAGGACATGGACATCTTAACGCTGTTACCAATAGTTTTTTAAAAGAAAAAGTTGGTCTCAAGTAGCATTATAAAAACAGATTTATAGAATAAAAGTTTGCAACCAGACAGACATTAGTAGGGACTGTTAACAGACTAAAAATTTCTTGTATATGTATTCTTGTTTGGTCTGAAAAGCAACTCAAAAAGTTACTTTTAAGTGGTTTTGAACAGAAGTACATACATTTTTTTGCTGTCCTTTTAATTGAAGACAATCCCCAAACCCCCATGTTCTCTCTATATGAAGAATAGGTGTGCGCTTTCACAATTGCTAGATGAAGGACTGTTCAGCTTCTAGGCCTTGAACATCTTCATAAGAAAAATATTAAGCTTTGGTATGAAATTACTTGCTGTAGAGAGAAATTCAGTTTGAAGTATAAACTTTGCACTGCACTCAGGATTCTAAAAGGATCTCATTAAAGGGACTGAAATTTTCCTTGAATCAGAATTCTGACTTATTAAGGAAGGGTCTCATTAAATGATGTGAGAAGACAGTAAAAATTAAGAGTTGCTTTGTTTTTTAATACTTATTTTCTATTTTTCAGTTCTACGTTACCGCCCTGTACTTCATCCCTCAGATATCCTAGATTGCCAATTTAATGTATTTGGGACAATGCCATTAGTGATCTTAGCTGGAAAATATCCACTCATATACACATGTCCTTTGTGAATGGAATAATGGGCCATATGCAAATAAAATATGGGAGACTTGGAATACTGTATATAGAGAATTCATGTTACAAGACACCTGCGATGAGCCAGGTAGTCTTCCTCTACATAATTGTGGGAACTTTTTAGCAATAACCAGCTTTATCTTTCAAGATTCCCTTCAGTGAGATTTTACTTGACTGTTTTTACCATGCAGTCCTTTGAAACTCACTTCAGAAGGTGATACTGTCTTGTCGGTTATGGTCTAGTCTAGATGTGAATGGATATGCTACAAGGGGGGATTTCAGTAAGTTCTTTGCACTTCTTATATTGTTAGATAAAAGGCTGAATTTCAGAATTCCATCCATGCTTTAGTCTTTATTTTAAATTCCATTACTTTCACTTAGTCATTTGTCCCCGAACAAGTTATTTTCTTGGGCCAGCATTTTCCCCATCTGTATGATGGGGATAATATCAGCATCTATGACAGGATCACTACAGGGATTAAATGAGGCAGTGCACATAAAGTGCTTGCATTGCATCTGTTACATAAAAAATAATAATGATAGCTGCTGTCGTCGTCATCATCGTCATCAGACAGAATTTCTGCAGCCATCCACTTCTCTGTATAAAAACAGTGAGGAGTGGGGCACCTGGCTGGCTCGGCTGGAGCCTGCAACCCTTGATACCGGGGTTGTGAGTTTGAGCCCCACGTTGGGTGTAGAGATTACCTAAAAATAAAATCTCTAAAAAGAAAAAAGGAGTTAACGGACTCTTTGGAGGGAAATTGTCATTCCAGGAGATGACAGCAAATACAGTTAAGTGAAAAGCCTTTATGATTTGAGAGAGGAGAAGTTAAAAAAGGGATTTGGTTCCATACCAGTCACTGGTTTGTGAACTAATACGGACTTTTCTAATGGATATTGCACATATTGGTGTAAATCTCTAATGAGTGTTTGCCAAAGTAAGAAACTTGTTATGAACACTGAGATTAGATGTAATTATTTAGACTAGAGCTCGTAAGGATACACAAATGAGAACAGACACACCTCTAAGTTAAAAGAAGTGCTTATCTGAGAAGTTGATGCAGATGGAGAGCGCAGTCCTTAAAAGATGGTGATAATTGGGAGTAGGGGAGTGTTAAAAAGCAAGTATTAAAAGTAGACTAGTTTTTCTCTGCAAATGACTACTTCCCTTTTAGTATTTTATTTGTTTGGTCCATTTTGATGGATTTAAAAAAAACAAAACTATTTGTCCTAATTAATTTCTTTCAATTGCCACTTACTATACTATAGAAGCTATTTATAGAATTTCATTATATATTCATCTTATGGTACTTTGAGCACAGTGCTTGCTACTTTTCCTTTAGAGCTGTTGACAACAGCTTTTTGCAAATTAGAGATCCTATACCTCCCTTTTCTGACTCAGAAGTTTTTTCAGCCAACTGATTCATTGTAACTGCTGTACAAGAAATGAGTTCCACTGAAAACTTGACATAGGAATTGCCTCATGCAGAGCTTTTCAGTAGGTTTATATTTTGAAAGACTAATTTTTGATCAGCCATTTAAACATTATTCAAACCATTTATCACAATTTTAATTGGGGAAATTAGCTTTTATTTTAATCATATGTATTGATGATAAATTTATTTTCAGAGCTTGATAGACGTTATCAAAGCTATTTAAAACAATTTTTTTATAGATCAATCCCACAGTCATCTTCAGTTTCACAGGTAGAAAAGTTGTAAATTTAAAAAAGGGAACAGATTCATTTATTAGTTATAAAGATTGTAGAACTAACAGCAGAGTTTAAATGAATTAGTCTATACTTGTAGAAAACTTTTATTTCAAATAATGGCCTTTTTTCTTTGGAATGTGTTTAGTGTGCAGACTGTCCAAAGAAGTTAAAATGAAAGTAAAGATAAGATAGGAACTAGTTGTCCTCAGTAAATAAAATTTTGGCTTGGACTTCTTGTATCCGTGTGGGGAGAAGGCCCAATTGCATGAAAGCTAAATTTACAACTAAATGATGGATTTTCATTCCACAAAAGAATGTAGTTGATTTCTGAGTTCTTTGGAGATCATATTGTCCATCTTTCCTCTGTTGAGATTGTTCACTTACAAAAATGAAAGGAAATGTGGATAGTTTTCATTAGAATAACAGGTATACTAGAATATATTCAATATATTTATATTGTATATTATAATAAATTAGGTGTATTAGAATTACAGGTATACTTACCTTCAGAGGATAATTTTAACTATTGCTGAGTATGTTCAGGAGTATACTTGGAAGAAATGATAAAATCACATTGTATGGTTGAAGCAAATTCTTTTCTAGTGTTCCTAAAAGAGGATTTCTATGGGCTGGTGTATCCAGATGAAGTGGTGAATGAGTATTCGCGCGTTTTATCCATAGAAGAGCTTTCCTTTTGCTGTGCTCAGATGTCATTCAGATAATCACATTATTTAGTTAATATGTATGAATAAATATGTACGGTCTGCTTTTTTGTCAGAGCGGTATTACTCAATATTGCCAATAATATTTTCCCCCTAACTTAAGAAAACAAGAAGCAGAGGTCCAGACCTCGGAAGCCACGTAGGACTAGAAATGAGGAAAATGAGCAGGACGGAGACTTGGAAGGCCCCGTGATTGACGAGTCTGTGCTTTCAACGAAGGAGCTCCTGGGCTTACAGCAGGCAGAGGAGCGATTAAAAAGAGACTTCATTGACAGGCTAAAAAGGGTAACGTCTTTTATTTGTTACTTAAAATCCTTGTCTTGGTTTAAACTATGCTAGTAATTGGAACATGTGCTTTGATGAGTTAGGTATCCTACTACAGTTATTAGCATTTAAGCACTGTGAGTTAAAAGTGATACTCAATTTGATTTAACAGAATCACTTCCAAAAAATGACTATTAGAATAGTGGTAAAGAGTGACAATAATATATTAACAGTTTTTAAAGTGACGGGGAAATCATTTCTGGCTAACTTTTGTTTGCCTATGTTTTGGAAGATGAGTATATATGTTTCTCTAAATCTCTTCAAATTATAGCGACCAAGAAACTACCCTACAGCTAAGTACACCTGCAAACTTTGTGATGTTTTAATTGAATCCATTGCATTTGCCCATAAGCATATCAAAGAGAAGAGGCACAAGAAGAACATTAAGGTAAGTTTAATGTAACCCAGACAAATATGTTTGTCAGTTCTTTTTACTTGTCATCTTTGCAACTTTCCTCTCTTTAAGGCTAGGATATTAATAACTTCACTACTTACATTACTGAATTTATTTTAGCCAAAATACTTTACATTGGTAAGATATGTTTTGCTCGGCAGTCTTGTGAATTTCATTAAGAACAGTATCAGGATGAGTGAAGTCATTGATAGGATCTCGGTATATGCCCTTATGCCAGTAATAATAAAGCAAATAATTTGTCATTGCTGCTTTTAATGTTCTTTCCCTGCACTTTTTCCTTATTTTTGCCTTCCTTCTTTTATCACTTTATGTGCATAAAGAAGTGTATGTGTTTGATGAACTGAAGACTAACACAGCTAAGGTGAGAGGGAGAGCTAAGAAAAATATTCCAGAATATTCTACAGGATGTTGTCTCAGGGAACGGTAGAAGGTAAAAACTGTGTGAGTCATTTTTAATCTCAATATTGATCTTAAAAGGAGAAGCAAGAGGAAGAGTTGCTTACTACGTTACCCCTGCCTACACCCTCCCAGATAAATGCAATTGGTATTGCCATTGACAGAGTGGTACAGGAGTTTGGCTTACACAATGAGAACTTGGAACAGAGACTAGAAATTAAACGTATCATGGAAAATGTGTTCCAACACAAGTTACCAGGTATTTTCTAGATTTGTTTTTCTATTTAGCTACCTAAAAGTGCCTCATGCATTTTTCCAACCCGTAATAATTTTCATCTAATAGAAATTGAGTTACCATGTCCTGAAGCTCTTAATTTTTTGTGTGTTTTTGTTTCTTCTGGCTTTCCCCCAGGGTAACAAAGACTCTTACATGCACTGTCATTAAGCCTGTCTTCATTATGAATTTCCTTTTACACATGTACTTTAAATTAAATGTTCCAGATTATGGGGGCACTGTGGGATTCTTATGTATCTACCTGTTTACCTTCCTACCTGTTCGAATTGATGCAACATTTTGAGTTAAAATAAAAAGTATACTCAAGTCATTCTCAGGTTGTCTGTGTCCGAAAAAGGTTCTGTTTAACCACTTTTAAAAAGAATTGCAACATCTAAAATGAGCTCTGAACCTATTTTGTAATAGATTTTGTGTACTGTTGATTAATTTTCCAGGTTATGTCTGTGGAGCCACAGAAAACTTTTTTTTTAGAAAGCTCCACAAGTGATTCTAACCCACAGTTAGGATTGGAATCACTATTCAAAGGTTATCACCGTATCACCCATAGAACTATTTGTTCTACTGAAAAAGCATTCATATAGCATATCATTCATACTTGTGTATACTTTCATGAAAATAAAGAGCAAGAATCGGTTCGTTTCATTATATCTGTAGCGCTCATCCTTTGTGTTATAGACAAGTTCCCAGAAAGGCATTTGTAATGTCAGTGATTTTTGCTATAGATTTCCATTATAAAATTTAATGTACTTTGTCACGGAAAGCTGTTAAAACTCAAAGAAATCACTTGACTTAACAAACCTAAAAAAAACCCCACAAAATCCCCTGATAGGAAGGAGATAACTTTTTGGCACAGTAATAGTAAAACATTGGGGAAAAAACGCCATAAGTAAATACAGGCAGTACACACACACACACACCTTCCTCTGAAGAGTGAATTGCTTATTGCCTAGTATTTTAAGTTATATCAGTGATATTAAAATTATTTTTCAAAAGTTTTCCTAAAGAGAGCATATTATGTTAAGGTTTTTTTGGTTCATAATCATACTGAAAAGTAACTTTATGCTGACGGTCATTTTTATGATTATTTTATTGAAACGTGATCTTTATAGTAAATTACATGTGTGTGTTTTCTAAAAGGTGAAATGTTTGCATTAACTCTTTAGTATACTATCAGGTTTATAAATATAAGACAAAGTCAGGCATCTGTTTTTTACTTTCACATTGTAAAAATCCTTGCAAATAGTATTTTCTGCACAAAATATAAAATAATTTAGAATTTTTTTAAACATGTTTTACAATTGGCATGAAAGAGTAGCTGTTAATATAAACTGCAGGCAACACAGCCTTCCCTGTTACATAAAATAAAATAAAGACAAGAGCAAAGAGTCAACCGTTCCTTTTTGTTTATTTATACCAGACTTGAATACTGTCTTACTTTCATGTGTAGTTTTAATTGATGGTTCCATTTCTTAAATAGCAGTGTTTTGTTATGACTTTCGAGAAATTTCACCTTATTTATGACTTAATTTTTTTTTTCAGATTGTTCTCTGAGATTATATGGGTCATCCTGTAGCAGATTGGGTTTCAAAAATTCAGATGTAAATATTGACATTCAATTTCCAGCCATTGTAAGTACAAAATAAAATGTTAGAATTTTCAGAGTGGTATGGAAATTCTTTTTTTCAGATGTGAGCTATATAAGAATATATTTAGATACTTGAAGATAATATAAGTGGCAGCTTTTTCCCCTAAAATTTCCAGTTCCATGCTCTTCTGCCAACCTTCGATTTTAGAGCATTTCTTTTAATACTGTACAGATTTTTGTACTTCTTTTACTCTAGAGATCTTTTATATTTACTTCAAATGCTGGTTTTCTAACTATGTGACTCTAATGGGGCTTTTTAGGTTCTGTTAACATGAGAAGATTAAATTATCTTGGTAAAGTCAACTTTCCAATGTCAGAGAAGGATTTCAGATTTTAAACAGTGTGGACATGGAAACATTTGTGAACTGAAAGCTCCATTTGCTCCTAAGTTTCCACTTTTATACACCTACTTTGTTAAAATATTAATGCTTTTGAAGAACCACACCTAGCCTTGATTTCTGGTTTAAATGTGATTGAAAAAGATGTCAATGAGTCAGAATTTTGAATCTGGAAGGCACTCTAGTAGATCATCTGTTCATCCGCTGGTGGTTCCCCAGGCCAGTTTGCAGATGGTTATGCCCATTTGCCTGGGTTGCTAGTTAAAAATAATAAAGAAGATTCTTTGACACCACCCCCAGCTGTTCTGTCGTACAGCCTCTCATTCCTTGCCGTCCATGACTGCCACAGCTACGTGGTCAGCTGACCAACAGATTTTACTCGTCTTTTAACCTTCGATTTTGATTAGTAATTTACCAGCATAGCAGTTATTTTGGTGTCGTCATTCATTTAGCAAATACTCACTGAGTCCATGTTGTGTGCCAGGCACTATCCTAGATCCCAGAGAACAAAACAGGTAGGATTCCTCCCTTGTGGAACTCATACCTAGTGGAGGAGATAAGTAATTACATATATATGGTTAATTATAAGGAGGGCTATGCAGGGAAACAAGATTCTGTGACAGAAAAGAACAGGGGATATGTAGATTCAGCAGTCATGAAGTCCCCTTTGAAGCGATGACATCGACTCTAGGCTCTAAACAACGAAAAGGAATAAGGAGGTCAAAGGGTGAGTGTTTCAGGCAGGGGGAGCAGTGTTTACAATCACCCTAAATCCCTACGGAGCTTGGCCTAGTCCAGGAGCTGAATGGATGATTGTATAGCCATGGTGGAGGGACCAAAAGAAAGAAGCAGCCTTAAGATTAGGACAGAGGACCCAACATGCAGGATCTGTGGGGCTTGGTAAAGAGTTTCACTGTGACCTAAGGGCAGTAGGAAGCTATTGAGAGTTTTAAGGAGGGGCACGCATAGGTCTGATTTATGACCTTAAATGGTTGTGGTTCCTACATGGAGCAAGGATTGGAGAGAGGCAAGGCTGAAGTGGAGACCAGCAAGCAATCTGTTGAAGTAGGCTTATAGTGAGAGGTGACATGAACAGTTTTGTGTCTTGGAGATTTGCAGAGAGGCTGATTACCTCAGGAATTCATTAATCAGGAGTTAACTGTGTAACAGGTCACTTTCCCTCATTTGGAGTTCATCTCTGTCTCTGATTGATGTGTGCACATGGCATAATGATTAATTTATTTACTGGGGTAGCAGTGTGCTTTCTAATTTGGAAAGGAGTTTGGATAACTTCAGATGACTGTATTATCTCAGTGAAACAACAGTACTTATGGATTAGTGATGTATTCATTGATTTGTTTCCTAGATGTCTCAGCCAGATGTTCTCTTACTTGTTCAAGAATGCTTGAAGAACAGTGGTAAGGCCAAATTCTTTCCACGTTTTGCTCTTTTCTTTCTTTTGTCTATAATTTGGATATATCTTATTTGTCAAACGTTGAAAATAGGAAGTCATGTGTCTTTTAATTATTTCTGTGGGTAGTATCCAAACAAAACCATTCTGTGGTTTAAATTAATACCTCACAGACGATAAATAGGTGTGACCCAACCCTGATTAATAAATCACCAAATATTTGCTCCTGGTTAAGGTTATCAGTTGTCCAAAGTATTATCTGGCTTAGGACTTGATGACTTTTTATGCTCTCCATAGGCCTCATTAAACTGTCTCATCCCATGAATTAGTCTTTCCCATCCTTCTTGTTTGGGTTGAATCAAACATTCAGACATTTCTTCTTACTTCAGCCAATATGTATTTTGAGCCCAGATATTTTAGTAGCTTTTGCAGCAGTTTTGTTCTTGAATATATCCCATCCACATTTTTAATTTCCTTATCCACTTAACACTTAAATATTCTGATTCAATAATGTAGTCATTTCTAATCAAATGTGAGTTTTGCAAAATAAGGGTTTTAAATTATTGTGATTACCTGATTGTTGTACATAATACTGTTTCCCTTTTCAAGTCATCTCAGAGCTTTATTTCGTAATCCTCTTTCAAAAGCCCGAACCGATTAAGTCACAACTTGTACTTCATCTAGTTCTGCTTTTAAACAGAGGTTTAATTAATCTACTTAATATTTTTTCTTCTTTCCTCAGACTTTTTTATTGATGTTGATGCAGACTTCCACGCTAGGGTGCCAGTGGTGGTGTGCAGAGAAAAGCAAAGGTCTCTGTTTCTTTAAGCTGTTTGTATATTAAATAGAAACTTGCCAGGAGCACACGTACTTAATGTCCAATTTCTAGAATAGCAAGCTTCTTATGTGGTTAATTTCAGAGGCTCACTGTTAGTATTCTCTCTCTACTTTTGGCATTTGATGCAGGAGCAGAAGATGTTTTATTTTAAAAAGAATAAAATTATTTGAAACAGCAGAGGAAGTAAGCATTTTGACCCATTCCATTTCAGTAAAAAACAACTTTATCGAAGGGTTACTTGCTGTAGCCACCTTACTTTGCCATCCTTTTTAGCAGCATTTTTAGCAGTGCTGAGTAACAATTAGTGTGACTTCCCCCATGTGTGTCTCCCTCCATCTGGAAGCATTACCATCACCACAGTACATGGGTGGTTTGTAGGCTGTAATGATTCTTCATTAGGCAGATTCCTCCAACTCTTGGGAAAACACTCCTTTACTTTTCACAAAGATGAATTCCTACTCCCATTTGAACCATTTTACAGTATTTTCCTAATTTTCATTTCCCCCCAGAAATAGTTTTAATGTATGAAAATACAGAGTTTTAGTTCTGAAAAATTAAGTTCGCTCAGAGAATAGCTGCCCTATCTTTTTCTTAATGCAATGACCTAAATGACCCATAAAGATTTTGTGAGTTTTTTATTTTCATTTTGAAGATATTATCAGTGCAAATTAGTTATTGATACCTGTGTAATGCTTTTTATCTTTCTCTTTTTCTTTCCCAACCCCACCCCTTACCCACCCACCCACCCCCAGTGGTCTTCTTTGTAAAGTGAGTGCAGGAAATGAAAATGCTTGTTTGACGACAAACCATTTAACTGCCCTTGGAAAACTTGAATCAAAGCTGGTTCCTTTGGTGATTGCCTTTAGGTACTGGGCAAAGGTAGGTTTGAGTTCTTTAAATGTGTGAGCACATTCTACATATGCACAAATAGCATGCTTTGATGTTTTGCTTGGTTAATCTTAAACATTTGGATGCATATTTATAGACAAGAAGAGAGTAGGTATCTGAGTATCAGAACAGAAATTTTAATATCTGCAGAAAGGAAAATTTAGTGTTTCTGTTTCACTGTTACAGTATTGCTGAAAAGATCAAAATGACTTATAGTGCTTATTAAAAATCAGATTTGTGGGTCAAGTGTAGGATATGGCCCAAGAATTTACATTCTACCTAGTTTCCCAATGTGCTTCTTAGGCACTGGAAAGTTTGAGAGATACCTTTTTTTTTTTTTTAACTATTTTATTTATTTATTTGACAGAGAGATAGAGAGCACAAGTAGGCAGAGGGAGAGGGAGAAGCAGGCTCTCCACTGAGCAGGGAGCCAGACATGGGGCTCGATCCCAGGACCCTGGGATCATGACCTGAGCTGAAGGCGGCCGCTTAACCGACTGAGCCACCCAGGCGCCTGGAGAGATACCATTTCTAATCATGTACCCAGAGACTCCAAAAAATGGAAGCCACTCTCTGCTCATACTTATATTTCTCAATATTTATTAGAGTATTTAGTATTTCCTTAAAACTTAAGGTCCCATCATGATTATAAAATTGAGATTCTATGTAGGTACTTTAGAGAGAAAAGCTAGAGCTTTACTGATTATGTCAGTAACAGGGGCGCCTGGGTGGCTCAGTCGGTTAAGTGTCTGCCTTCACCTCAGGTCATGATCCCAGGGTTCTGGGATCGAGCCCTGCATCGGGATCCCCTGCCTCTCTCTCTGCCTGCCGCTCTCCCTGCCTGCATGCATGCACTCTCTCCCTCTCTCTCTCTCTGACAAATAAATAAATAAAATCTTAAAAAAAAAAAAAAGATACAGTAGTAACAATATATAGTTCCTATTGCTCCCGTCCAGGATAAGCAGAGGATTGCACCAGTCTTAACCAGGTGAATTGATAATTACAATACACTGTCGTCTGAAAGCTGCTTCCCACTTCATCACTAAGTAGGCTATGCTTTTTAAATTGTTATTCCTGTTGGTGCTAATGAGTTTGCCTACATTCTTTCCCCAATCACCTTTCTGGGCAAAGCATGAATTTTCAAGGCAGTAGGTTCACATGAGGGGACCATTAAACTGAGCAGAGCCAGTTGGCTTGCACTTGGGATTGAACCATCATTTTGATTTCACTAACAAGCATTTTAATCGAGTTGAGTGGATTTGCTGTGGATGTCAAAAAAAGAAATAACAAATATTAGATTAAAAATTTGAAATTAAAGTTGCCACTCACCATCACAATATGTGGTTGCTCCAAAAGTTTATGGAAGTTTTATTTTTTGTCACTGTGGTATTTTATAAAAGGTTTTAGAACAAAATATATAAATGATAGGTTGGTACAAAAGAATGCTTATCCTTTTTTTCTCTCATTTGCAGCTTTGCAGTATAGATTGCCCTGAAGAAGGAGGTTTGCCGCCTTATGTGTTTGCCCTGATGGCCATTTTCTTTCTTCAACAAAGGAAAGAACCGCTTCTCCCCGTTTATCTAGGATCATGGGTATAAAACTTTTTTTGCTTATATATCTGATACTAATTTTATTCCAGGGCCACAATTGCTTATGCATAATTTCAAAATCTAAAAACTTAGCCAGAACGGACATGAATTTATTTATCCTACTAGTATGAATATTCATGCCTCTCACTGCTGAAATATTAGTGTATTTGCCTACAAGATGCTGATGTGTACTCTGCTGGGGATAGGATTACTTTTCTAAACTGAAAAAGCTCTTAATTTGCAAAACACATAGGATCCTGAGGGTTTTAAACAAGACAATGTGAACCTGAATTAAATTTATCCTTTGGTACATACTTCCTCTGGGTATAACTAGATACTTAAATTTACAAGTCACCTCCAGACAGACTGTATGAAGCATTTGGTTGCTGTAACTTGCTTTCTGTTTCTAGTCTTTGAGCTCTCTGCATTCCCCATTCCCTGTGAAACAAAAGAAAATAGAAGTATTGAGATTGCTAGTTATACTGCAAGATGCAGAATGTTGTTGTCACCTCTCGAATAATATTTTGGTGTTTAAGATGAATTAGAATTCAGTAATATGACCACTCTTTTTCTGCATAAGTTAAAGTTGATTTATTTAAATAGTAGGGTTAAAGAAGTCTCTGTCTCAAAGTCAAAATAATACTCTTCTCACCCTTTTGGAAACCTCACTTTTAAATCCTACGTGTTTATCTTGATAAAAATCTTACATGTATACTTAATGTATAAAAAGTCTCACTTGGTAAAAAGCTTATTTTGGCACATACGGTATTGTAACCACCTTTCTTCTTACCATACACAGGATTCTCATCATTTAAGGAGGATTTGTTCTACAGCAGTAGCTTAACTATGAGTATATATCAAAAATATATGATTATAGGGAACATTTTTTCCTTTGTACTTAATATATTGAGTATTGAGCAAGGACCTTTATGTGCAGGGTCTTAGGAACAAAGACCAAAGCAGAATGAGCGCCTTGTAAACTCTGTCCTGGCAGAGGGATCACAGTTTGCTGTGCGTCCCAGTGGCCTGAAGGGCACTCTCTTTGTGCTTGTGGCACTGAAATGAAAGAATGCAGGGCCCCAGCGGGTGTCTGCTAGATAGCTGTCCTGGTGGACAGAAGAGAGAACAGTCAACCCTTAGCTGATAAATAACCCTTTCCATCAGACCCAGAAGGGCCTGTGAAGGTCTTTAAGGTTTTCCTTTCACTTTAATCCAGCAGAGACAGGAGTTTAGGATGGGACCAAACCAGTTAGATTCCTGTGCCCAAGAGGGCCTTTGTATGTGTTCCCATACTCACTATTGTATGTGTTCCCATACTCACTATTGTATGTGTTCCCATACTCACTATTGTCTTAGTGAGATCTACCTTTTCTGGTGTCCTGGTCACCTCTGAGTAGTCATCTGTCACTGATGTGAGGATGCAGGAAAAAGGATGTTTCTGTTCTGGTGATGTGGTTCTCCTCAGGATTCACTTATGAATACCCTATTCTATGGCCAGTGTATTCTAGGCAGTGGTACTGGACATTCTCTAAAGTGACATTGAATTTGCTTTTGATTACACCATTTGTTCATTTAAGATTTAATGACAGAAACGGGGATGTGGTGGACAAAAATGGATTGAATTCTGTGATCAAATAAGGCGCACTCAACTGCCTGAACCAAAATGATCTACAGTTTTCAGTATTTTAAACTCGTCAGGCATCAATGCTAAAGTCTTACCAGTAAATGCTAGAAACTTCTGCTAGAGTCATAGAAATATAAAGCAAGTTTGGGAAAAGAAATGAAATTCACTATTTAATTAAATTCACTTATTGGTGCCAGAAATTTTACATCATTATTTCTGTACAAAATGCATTGAAGATTCCAAAATTATGTTTATAAGAGTATCTAAACTTAATTCCTTCAAAATCTTTAAAGCACTGTGTATGTTTGTCATTTTACCTGGCCCTGAAGGGAATACACAGATGAATAAGATGACATTCCCGGTCAAGAAGTTTAGGATATCATGGCTCTGTGCCCTCATCTCTCTTCAGAGAGTCCTAAGCCAATCTACGCCAGCCTCTTCCACGTTGGCGGGGGTTTAAGCCTCAGTCGGAGGCTGTCCTCACTGACCTTTTACTCCCATGTATTGTTACTAGACTTTGATTTGACTAAAAGTTAATCATAACGAGTTGCGACTGATGAATTGGCTTAACCCTGCCCTCTCAGCATCTTTCATCCCTACAACAGTATTTTACTAGCCTCCTAGTAGTTATTCTTTGGAATCTGCCTTATTTTGGATTATATAGATTTAGCTTTTAGCAGTTATTTACCCATGAAGGATGCCAGGTAATATAGTCGAAAGAAGAGTAGTCTAAAGTTTGCTAGCCCTACGATTCCTCCAGATTTTGTCACTTACACATATCCTTATGACCTTCAGCAAGTTATTTATTTTCTCTGAGCCTTGGAGACCTCATCTGAAAAATTCTGAAATGAGATCATGAATGTAAAGCTCCTGAACCAAGGCAGGAGAACAGCTGTAGTTCTTTTCCCCCTCAACGGAAAGTCAAGTTCTACTTATGATGTGGAGGTACAACCTCCTAACCAAGTGACCCTTGTATAAGTAACAGCTATAAATTCTCAACAAAACACAAGAAAACAACAACGTGTAGACTCTGAAGACTGAACAAGCACAAGCAGACTTTGGAGAGAAGTCAAACTTTGGAGCAAGTGTCCAACACATAGCGAGTTTCTGTTCTTCTGTGGCTTTACCCTAAAGGCACGTACCTCTGATAGCAAAACCAGTCCTCTCTGGCCAGAGGAACTAGGGCCACCAGATAAAGGGGGAAAACCCGGAAGGGAAAGATACTGAGAATTGGAACCCTTAATTCTCCCAAACCAGTCCAGTCTGTCCTATAAGGAGCTTGGAAGTCATCACTGTGTCTTCACAAAAAGAGGAAAAAAAAACAAAAAACTGAACAAACTGAAAATCAACAACTCTTCTTAGAGCCATCAGAGAGTTGAGGTCACAGGGAAAGCCATTGCCCCCAGAATTCAAGAGACAGGCAAATACAGCAAATTATAACTTGTTAGAGCAGAAGCCCAGGAACAGAGACAATACCAGGGTAGGAGGGCTTAGATTGTGGTTCTGGAGGCTCAGTCTGGGCAAGCCTGAGAATGAAAAATAGCAGGGGTGCCAGCCTTAGGGAACCTCCCAATGATTTCACAGGTTCTATCCCAGGAACCCCCACCAGGTTCTCAAAGAAGATCCAAGAAAAAATCCCCTTGTGCTTTTGGCAGGGTGAGAAAAAAAGTCACCATTTTGAAGTATGCCCAGAACATGCTATTCTCCTAAACAAAAACCTGCCTTCAAGGGAAACTTTTTTTTTTTACCTGGGCCTAACTGACCTGGGGAAAAGAAAAATTACCCAACTCTAGCTCCGTTCCTGAGCCTTCCTATCTTCCTTAGGTGGGGAGGATTGAAAAGCATCTTGTCAAGGTCACAGTCCAGGACCACAGGCTCACTAAAAGACTGGCACCTGATCATAGGACTATAGAATGCTTCCCCTCCCCCAGACCTTACCACATTATTAGGGCTCCTGCATAAAACGGGGTAAAATGGAAAGACCTCAGTTCACAAGAAATCTTTTGGGAAACCCAAAAACAACAGGGAAGACAAAAACAAGGACACCAGAGAAAGTTTTAGCCTCTTGACATCTACAGCTACAACAATCAGTAAACATAGCTGAACTCCTAATAAATAAAACTTCACACTAAAGGCCTTTCTACCTCAGTTCCTTTTACTGAGTACATATATCCAGCTTGCTTTTTTTTTTTTTTTTAAGATTTTATTTACTTAACAGAGCATGAGCTTGCACAAGCAGGCAGAATGGCAGGCAGAGGGAGAAGTAGGCTCCCTGCTGATCAGGGAGCCCCATGTGGGGCTCTATCCCAAGACCCTGGGATTATGACCTGAGCCGAAGGCAGACCCTTAACCAACTGAGCCCCCTAGGTGCCCCTATATCCAGCTTTCAACAAGAAAATTACAAGTCATACTAAAAGGCAAAAAAACATAGTTTAAAGAGACAGAGCAAGTATTGGAATTATCAGACCAGGAAATTAAAACAACTAGGATTAATATGCTTAGGGCTTGAATGGGAAAAATGGACAACATGCAAGAACAGATGAGTAACACAACTTGAGAGATGGAAGCTCTAAGAAAATCAAAAGGAAATACTAGAAATAAAGTCTGTAACAGAAATGAAGAATGCCTTTGATGGATTCATCAGTAGGCTGGACACAGATGGGGGAAAGAATCATGCTTTCTTCAACAGAAACTTCCCAAACTGAAAAACAAGGAGAAAAAAAAAAAAAGATGGAACAGAATATCTAAGAACTGTAGGACAATTACTAAGAGTTGTATGTATTATGGGAGTATCAGAAGAAGAAAAAGAAAGGAACAGAAGAAATAATTTGGAATAATGACAGAATTTTCCAAAATTAATGACACACTTCTAAAACACACATGTAAAGCAGACTAAAAACAGGTTTAAGGCTTAAGGCTTAAAAAAATGAACTGAGATCAGAATTGCCATCCACCAGAGAAGAGACAGTCTGCAGTTTATGTAGTCCAGTTAATTACCTACAAAAGTATCAACATGTTTTGGAGTAACATAAAGAATCCAAAATTTTCATAATACAGTATAGGATCACAGTATCCAGAACGCAATCTAAAATTAATATACGAAGAACAAGGAAAATGGGACCCACTCTCAAGGGAAAAGGGAAAAGAAAAGGAAAAGAGAAAAATCCAGTTGCCAAACCAAGATGCCCCAGATGTGGGAACTCTGAAAGACTTTAAAAGAGTTATTGGGGCGCCAATAACACAAAAGAGTTATTGGTGGCTCAGTCGTTAAGCGTCTGCCTTCGGCTCAGGTCATGGTCCCAGGGTCCTGGGATCGAGCCCTGCATCGGGCTCCCCGCTCAGCGGGAGGCCTGCTTCTCCCTCTCCCACTCCCCCTGCT